CGTAGCTAGGGCTGGAGAGCAGGAATCTGTTTGTAAGGGAGTCATGGGATTTTCGAGCTGTAAGCAGTAGTGGAGGCTTTGCTGGGGGTCCTAGATAGTCAGGTGGAGTGAAGGTGGGGCAAAGATAGAGAAGGGCATATGGACAGTAACTTGGGAAAAACCCTTGCTCACTAAGGAATATACAGATTAAGAATTTGAATTCAAGTGATATTTCATTAAAAGTTCCTGCATCCTTTTTGCAGATTAAACCCAGCACTTTAACCCTTGCTGGAACAACAGGGAGAAGTGCTTTTTTGCCCTAAGTAGGAGACAGTTTCCTCACATTCCTGAGGAAGAACACAAACCAAAGCCTCATTTCAGTCAGGTCCTATGTGCCTAAGATTTAAAATGCTATCAAAAGTGTAGTGGCTGAGAATCAAACAGTTAATGAAGTCAGACACTGCAAGGACAAAATTAAATGGATGGCCACATCTTTCAAAAAGTAGGAACTATCCTGACATGCAGGTAGATTATTTCACAATCTCTTCTATTTTTTTCCCCACAATTTGTAGACTCCTCATTAATTTTCATAATTATTGTGAGTGATATTAATTTTTTTTATTACCAAACATTCTTCTACAACACTTGCAAATTCAGAAAGTGGATTGATACTGGGGAAAGGGCTATTTACAGATAGCAATATAGTGGATAGAAAGTATCCTGCCGCCACTTCAGAAAGCAAAAAAGCTATATGATCCTGTTATTTTGTATACTTCTATATCCTTGTCAGCTCACCATTAAAAAGATGAGTAGAGAGACAAAAAATTACTGGGGAAGAACTTTTTTTTTTCTTTTAAAAAGAAAAGATACAGAAAGGTTTGTTTTGCTGAATTAATTGTTAGCTGCTGGATGTCATACTGGTCAACTTTTTGCCTTGCTGTTACATTCCAGGGTACAGTATATCAGATACATTAACATTCGATCAAACTTCATATACTAACAGCACAACTTGCAAGTATATATGTGAAACTAGCATTACTATGTGTATATGATCAAAGCTGTGTCTGCCGTTTCATTCATTCTGTACAGTTATTTCACATGCTTCCAGCAAATTCATCGAATACCCTAGCTTAAATCTGTATGCTTGCCCTTTGTAAGCTGCATCTATTGAACTTAATTTAGAATCCAGTGTCTTTATATTTAAGCATAGAATGCATTGGGCTTTTATCTTTCTTGAAAATTTTCTTAAATAGTACTTTCAGGACTTGCCTCATAATGCTAGCTACTTTTAAGGGAACAACCTTATTTAACTATGGCATAAGTTGTTAGTACTTCATTGGAAAAGACAACTCAGTTAAAAGCAGTTTGTATTCCTGTTCATTGTGATAAGGGGGCTTGTTGCAAGGAAAATTTACACTATTACTATCTTGTATATGGTGAACTATAGCGTGTGACAACATTTAAAAAAAACAGAATAGCAGGGAGGAGCTATGAGCAGTCATGGGCAGTGGTATGGGAATGCTAGGGGTATCTTCAAATATGACTGCATTTACTGGACTACAGTGGTGTGAAGGGGTGGAGAACAGTTGCAGAGCAGTCTGTAGCCTCTCCAAACAGTTTTAGAGGTGGTGAAGCAGCCAGGCAAAGCAGCAGCTCCAGATACTGCTAATGGACTGGCAAGGAAGAGAATTTCATTCTCCACTGCTTCCTAACATGCATCTATTCCTTTGACTTTAAGGGAGACAGTATTCAGACCAATAAACAAATGATTTATAGATTAAAAAATTCTGAAGGCACATAAAAAACCTACGCATTGTAGAATATAATTTTCTTTATAATACCAAGAAAAATAATAAATTTAAAGTTTATAGATATACACACAATATAAAGTATATACATAAAAATAATTGAAAATTTGCATGTTTCAGATGTTCATTTATGAAGCACTTAAGGCATACAGGCTATTTCCCCCTCCCCCCCTAATTTTTAATCATATAGTTTTTAAATCTAAGTTTTAAAAGCAACTTCATTGTCTTCAGTGGAATGCTTCCAATTTTCACCAGTGTAAGTGAAAGGAGAACAAGGCACAACATGCTTTGAAAAATATCATGCAACACTATATGAAGAGCCTTGAATTCACTTTTGAAAAACGTAACATATAGTCACTAAATTGTAATTTTTGCCAAAGCTTTGTGGTTAGATCCCATTATATTTACACGCACTATGGAATAAGTAATATAGATGTCTTCCTGACACTAAAGCTTGGGATCTATAGGAAGAGACAAACATGTGGTTGAAAGCTGAGCTAGACTGCAGCTTTTCAAAATGAAAAAGATAAAAAGATAGTTGTAAAATAAACCACTATAGTTTACAAAATGGACAACAAAGCAGGTCCAGGGAACAGAAGGAACGTTGATCTCTTAGTTAATGGGGAATAGTTGGTACAGAAACAAGTGATCGTACCAGATATTTTAGGGCTGATTTTGTTTCTATCTGAAATAGTGGTAAAGCTCCAGTGAATTAAATAAGGTTTTTCTATTTTTTTTAGTTTCTCAGCATTTCATGTTAATAAAAAGCTATTTTAAAATTTCATTTAATGTGCTTAAGCCTGCTAATCAGAAAAATAAGCAGCAGAAAGACCAATAAAAGACACCGATTTAAATTTGATTTGTATAAGTTACCTAAATGCGAAATCTCCACCTTGTGCAACATTAATCCTTTTCTAGAAAAGGAAAGCATTCTATATTGAAGTTATATTTTAAAAAATATTCTTTTTCCCCAAATAAAGTGAGGTACAGACTAACTTTAATAGGATTTTCTTGAAATTGTCCAGGACTTTGTCACATTAATTACTGTTACTGAGCCTCTATAATCAATACAGTGAAATCCAGACAAAATTACATCTTACTGAAATAATGGCTCTAAAGCAAAGGCTGTATGTTTTTCTTGGTTAATATAACATCTACAATGTCTAGTTAACTCTAGGAATTGCTTTTACTATTTACTGTCTTCTGATTTAACAGTGCTTCGTTTTAATGGATATTTAGGGGATTTGATTTCCATACATTAAGAATGTTATGTATGAAACAGCAATGTTTTACGGACATTGCATAGCTCAAAGGCAGCCACAGAATTTTGCTTTCAGGATATGTTTTGGGTTTTTTTTTTGTTTTGCTTTATGTATCTTACTTTATTTGAGAAAATACTTTTGACATTTCGAGATTTACTTTACACTGTTTGGACTAGTAATGTTTTATTCTAGTGGTCTGTTTTTCTAATATATAGCAGGATATTCTTGTAACAAAGAAAATTGCCATTATCTTCATATAGCACACCCCAGAAATGTACATAATCTTTGCTATTCTCTTCCTGTCTCCCAAAACGAACAAAGTAGACAAGGACTAAGGCCTGATCTACCTCCACAGAGGTCAGAATTTCCTTGTCAACTTTACTGGTCCAACACTAGGCAGCAGAGCTGAAAAAAATTCACAAGTGAGGGCTGTTAAAAAAAGGCCTTAGATATTCTTATTCAGTCTGAGGTTAGGCTGTCCATTGCTGATAAATTATTTATTGACATATGGGGGAATTTCCACTACAGAACTACTATAACTGCATATTGCCATATAATTCTTTCCGTCTCCCGATAGTATTTTCTATGATGTGCATGTGAATATGGAATCTGTTTTTTTCAAAAAGATTCATATGGTCAAGTTCTCTGCCTGTTTACTTGCTTAAATAAATGTTTTCAATTTAATGAAACAATTTGTAATGAATACTGTGAAACAAAGTTAAAAGCATGAGTTCTTGAAATAGAAATCATAATAAAAATGCCTTTTTCCCCTCCAAAATATTTATTTTAACATGTGGTCACATTTTCCTGCGTTTTCACATTAATTGAAATCTTATTGTTCTAAAAAAATAAATCTTTCTCCCTTCGTCTAGTTTCCCAGCCCTCTTACGCAAATAAAAAAAATACACATACGGCCATAATTTGTGGTTTTAAAAAAAGTAAAATTGTGTAAATTCACTGTATCTTTAAAAAGCATCATGCCAAGAAGTACTCTCACATAGCCTATGTTTCATAATTTACCTTCTCACTTCAGTGAAACAGCAACATATGATTATACTTTTGATTACTAACTGGGTTTTAAAAAATGATCTGAAGATTTTTAATTTGGGTCCTTTTTTTTCCTGACAAAGTAATCTTAGGTTAACGCTCAAAAGGAGTTGCTAAGGCTTTGGAACATCAGCTGAAGCCCCAAATACCGGGAGCATTCTCCAGGCAAGAAATCCTTCCTTTTTATTTGGAAATAGCCAGGATAACGGATTTGTTTTAAGGGAGGCAGGTTGGGGGGTGGGAGGGGGGAAATACAACAGCAATACTGGCTGGCTTCTAGTGTTCTTGTATGTAATCCTGCATGTTCTTCCCATTCAGATTCAGAGAAACAGTTTGAAAGAAACTGCCTATAAATATCAAATCACTTTCAAGAAACTTCTCTTGGTTACAGAAGCTAAAAATCAAGCACCATATCAAATAAAATGTGAAGCATGCTACAAAGCTTATCTGCTTTCTCCTGAAGAAAGCTCTGTGAACGTAGCCAGAAGCCTGGAGCTGAATCCTCCAGTGCTGTAGCAAGCAGAACAACCCTAAAAACTTAAAATCATTTTTAATTGTTTTCTCTATGAAAACTCACCAGTGCCCTTCTTCTCCAGGAAGTTGTACCCGTCAGCACCTGCTGAGGGCTTCGCTGATGAAACTGACAGGTAAAAAAAATTCCTGTAGAATAAAGCCAGACCAGCTGGCTTTGAAGAGAAACCCCCCAGTTTGGGTTGTGTTTGCCTCACTCACCCTCTACTCTGCAGCCCGAGGCTTTTTCTGCTTTAGTCGTTGACCTGTAGGCTGCGTGATGCGGGCGCGCAAGTGTCTGGCAGGCCGAGGTGCACCTGCTGCTGTCACTCCGGAGTAAATTTAGCTGTGAAAGGTATCACTGACAAGCAGACCTTTGTCAGCGCTGGCAAACGAACACAGATTTCCCATCCCTTCCCCCTCAAAGAACGCTGCGAGTTCAAATGGAAAATATCGAATCAGCCGTCTTATCCAGAAATCACTTCTTTGAGAAAGGAAGAGGCAAAATTGCTTTCATATGGCAAAAAAGTTTCCTCCTTTACATAGACGGTAAAATTACATTCCAAGAATAATCTCTGAACAAGACAAGTTTTTGTTCTATTAATTGTGGCTGGAAGGAAACTTTTTTAATGGAAATACAGCACACACATATTTCAATTCAGGTTATTAAACTGTGTTAAGTATTAAAGTTGATTGCCTTTCTTTTCACTAACTCATTGTGCTTTTTTATCCAAAGAAATATTAGAAGACTAAAACCTCTCAAATAGGAGGTATTAATCTCATTCCCAAAATTAGAAAGCATGCAGTGTTGAGAGACTGGATGTCAAAATTACATGTTCATAGCACTTGTGCTTTGGAAATCTAGGAACCAACCATTTTTAAAATGGAAGCCAAAGTAAAATGGAAAGCCTTCTGAGAGCGAAGCAAACTAAACGTGGTGTTCTTGTCCTTATTGGATTCAGGTAAGGGCAATTATCATTTGTATCTGCCCATTAGTTCCCCCCCCCCCCTCCCTGAAGGGGGCTCTTGTGTTTGTAAT